CATGTTTTATTCTGAAATCATATGAACAACCATTTCTACTAACAGAGTTTGGATTCCAAACAACAATAAGATAATATGAACCTTTACCACCTATATTGTTCAACTAATTGTATGACTTGCGAAAGTAATTCTGTACACCTGAACTAATCTGGGCTTGTCATAGCGAAGGGGGTGACTTTTTCTGTCATCAATGTTTTAGTTCTTAATTTATCTTTGCAGTATTTGATATTTTAATGCCTCCCTCCCAGAGTTCAGTCTGAGCACTTAGGTTTTGATTAAAAGAACCTACAAATACAAAAGCAGTTGAAAACACTAGACCAGTAAAGTAACTATAAGCCGCTGAAGAGTTATAAAAGCGTTCCTCAGAGAATCCAGTAGCTCTATGAGCTCACCGTCACCAAAGACCACGTTGCGGGTATTTGACTGCACATGACACTCCAGGCCAAAAAAATTAACAAATTAAATGCAAAATGCTGATTCGTTACTTAGAAAATTGGAAAACTACCTTCTTGCTCCTGCTCTCGTCATTTCTGAATACCTGAATATGTATTTGTGCAGTGAAAAAGGAGCAAAATTCCACAGGAATAAATAATTTGAAATATATGCTGCCTATAGATATGCTGCGATAATATAAAATTGCCTTTTTGTCTAACTGAACTCAAAAGTCTTCATATAAAGGTGACAGAATGAAACACAGCAACAGAGAATTACTGTACATTGCCACCTGATGGTCTGCCTTACTTGAAAGCCCTCACAGATACTGTACTGTGATGCTGTTTCCGAGCGCTAGGCAAATCCGGTAATCTCCTCACTCTTCACATGAGTGGTTTTTAAATGAAGCCTTCAACCAAAGGCCTTGCGAAGTCGATGGGTTTCTGCTGTCTGACTAAATAGAATCAAAGAATCATGTAAAGGATGGACGTGAGGAGGTGATATTAGGAAATCAGATATGTCCCATTTTATCCAGTTTTAAGAACATGAGGCCAACTGAGAAATTGATCAGCTATCAATTCACTTAGACAGCATAACAGTAAGAAACCACAGCTACTATAAATAATAAATGTTAACCAAAAATGGAAGTAAACAACATCACCACACAAACCTAACCATATTTGAGAAGGATATCCCTTCTTAGCAGCAAAATATTCACCTTTTATTAGGATTTGAACATTGTACCAGCAAAACTGTTCATTGTTAACAGTACAGGTCTCATTTTCAACTGAATCGGCTAGTTGAGAGCTACGCTGGTATAAGCACCAGGTTTTGATCCAGAAATGATACAACTGTCAATAAAAACATTTTAATTTGTTTCTCAACATATCCTTTGAATGATTGTCTTCACGTTTCTACATTCATTGGAATGAACAGAAATGGCTTGCCGAATAATTACTGCGGCTGAGACTGAACACCAATCAAGTGCTTCTGCTTTGAAATGAGGAATCTAACGACGAATCCGCTAGTTAAACAATCCAAATCATTTAATCCTCTTAGACAGTAGCCTTTAATGAAATATTGATAGTGAAATTCTAAAGGCTACGTAATTAGTCAATTTCACATTTGAAACTTCAGCCGAGGAATGCAATGTGACAGCTGAAATCTGCAGTCAGAACACCAGGCATTTCACCTGCGGTTCAGCACAATAAACTAGACAGTAGGCTGGTGGGACAAACCTGAAGAGAAAGTTCAGGAACGTACAAGTTACAATGCCACTTCACAACATAAAGGATAAGTGAGTTCACTTCAAAGTCTTCTAATACGTCATGAACTACATTTAATTAGGTTATTTTCTTTTGGGAAACCTTCTATAGAACTTGAACTTGAATATTAATAGACCATTCTTTGGTCAAAATGTAGATACTTAAAAATCCAGTGCAAAACCGAGAATCATCCCTCTCATCACAGAATCCTTTTAATTAAACATTTCATTTTTTCTCGACTTTTTCCCACCTTACTTCAAAACATGCAAGTTCAAGGCTGGAAACTCGCTGCAGTATCCACCAGGAATGTCACACAGACCTTCCCAAGAGGCTTTAAGTTCAATAAGATTTGCTGTAAAAGAATTAAGATGAGGAGAAGGCGCCATCCATCCCGAACTGTGAAAATTCAGAAAAGAGAAAACCTCATTTTTGTTTGAGAAAATGAAAGACGGCCATGTTGTGTCTGTGAAAGCCGAGTAACCTTAAGTTAACTAAATGTATGGATGCATTTTAAAGAAAGAACAGTGCAGGGGTCAGGAGAAGTAACGGTAAGTAGGTTCACTGCATTGGAAATCTACACAATGACGATATCTGTCTGTCCATAAACACAGGTCAAGGTAAGGTGACTCAAGCTAGGATCTCTCTGTAGCGATGGTAATTGGCTAGCTGTTAGAACTGTAATGGATTAGCCCTCACTACTTTGTTAATTTATTTTGGATGAAGAAAGGCTGAGACCATTTCGGACTTGCTGTGCTTCACATTTAGATTGCATTTTTTACAACCCTTCCACTTCCCTTCTTCATTTTCAAATTAGAGCATGTGTTCATACTTGAGCCTGAAAGAACACTTGCACAGAAATTGAAATATGGAGGACATATCATTGTTTGCAACATTACCATAACTACACTTTATTTACAGTTGTTAATAAGAGACACGAAACCAGGCACCATCTTTCATTCACATTTTGACAGAGCCCGGAGTTTCCTGTGGTCAGTGAACCAAAATAGAGGAAGATCTGTGGAGAAGACACCACTTTGAGACGCAGTGGTGTCAGCACGAGAAAGCCAAGCAAGGACATCGAAGTGAGCTTCGAATTCATCAGATTCAGCCTTCTCAGAACTTCACTTTCTTAAAACTCTGAATGAGTTATTTATTTACATTGGGAAGAAACAGAGGTGATGCTGATCAAGTCAGACCTGAAGAGCAAAGCATAAACAAATTAGCTGCAGGTTTTTGCACACACCTCATTCTCTCCACACATACCACAGTTAATTATTTTAAATTGTGCGGTGGCATGCTCAGGGCTACCCCTAACCACAGTGTCATAGTAAGAACCCAGGCAAAACTTGGACACTGCCTCCTTTCACGACAGACTTCAACATTTTTTACAATATCGCTCTCCTATGGTAAAATGAACGTGTGAAAAAAAACAACTAGATTTTCATGTATTTTTTTCTTTAATAAAAAAGTTCAGATTTTGCTTTTGCCGGCCGTCAGAACAGCACTTCCAGATTTCTCTCTGCTGGAACAGACCTCCCCACTGACCTGTGCTGCACACTAGAGGTCCTTGTCCAGGGGTCAGCAGCCTTTCAGAAGGGGTGTGTCACGAGTTAATTTATCCACTTGACTATGGTGTTATAATAGTTCAATTTACATACTGATTAATTAATAAAACTAAATCAACATAATTAACCAATTAAGATGAAGACCTTATCGTCTACCCTTGTTTTTCTTCACTGGATCCTCCCTAAACTTCAAGGTCCTTAAGTCTGTTGTAATTCATGTGAATTTTGGAAGACATAGTCTACCTGATAAGATTCAATTCAAGCCATCTTGACAGAACAGACACAAAAGAGTGTGGAAAAAGTCTGGTTAAGAATTTCAGGAAGCCTTCTTCCATCCCAGCTCAATGAGTAACTGTGTGAGGAGCAATTTGGGATACAAGAAAGTCTGACCTGGTTTTCATTAAGGGATGTCTGTATCCTGGCAGATGCATTATCAGCAGCTCTCCAGATATTCAAAACACATTTCCAGAACAGACAATTGCTGCATTCCTGCTTCTTCAAACTTACCACCCAACTGAAGACACTACATGGGGCAGATACACAGAGTCGATACCCCATACTGAATCCCACTGATTATATCTAAAAGTGCCAGAGCAAGCAGCTTCTAAACACAAGCCCTCTTCCCACAGCTAAGGCAGGCCTGAGGGAGAAAAACAACCAAACTACCCAAATCTGGATCACACCATCAGAAAAAAAAATATCTGTCCTACATGGCAGAGCTGTTCATGAGCCATGATGAAAATCTACTAGATTACAGTGTTATCCACAACTTACATGTATATATATATACCACAACAGAAATCACTAAGCGTGCTTTGTTTCTATAAGACTGAACCTTAGCAATACAACAGCACCCTTTAGCACTAACTTATAGCCCATATGCCACAGTCCGTTTACACCAGAGGCTTGTGACTTCCCTTTATCAATTGTAATAAATACTGGCAAAATATTCCGCAGACTAGTAACGTGGCATTGTAATTGCCGTGTCCAAACAAAATTACCTCAAACTCAGAACACAAAACACATTGCCTCTTTCTCAACGTTATTGTTGGAACTTAGAGCATATTTCTGTACACGTTTACCAGGAGAATGCGTTTTATACCCAAAGACTATCTTTCTCTGTACAAATCACGTTATAAAAGACCAGACATAAACAACTGCCAGAAAAATTGTCGCTGATGGCGTTAATCATACTACATGTTCTGTGAATTTGTAGAAAAACGTTGAACATTCGTCTGATCACAAAGGAATTTAGTTTGTGAGTGAATTATTACCTGCCAACATTTCGTGCTGTGTGTAAAAACATAAAAATTAAGACCCAACACACAAAAATGAATTTAACTGAAACGTTTAACTAGGGACGTTTTAAAACATATATAATGCGTGCTTTTCATGTTAATACTAGCAGTGAAACTAGTAGTACTACCTTGTACGAAAAAAAAAGTCTTTAGTGGACAACTTCTTGCATCCGTTATTTTTTCATAGAGCTAAGACCCCAGTAGTAGAAAGATATCTTTCTTGAAAACAAACTACATTAAACTGCATTGAAGAAAGATTAATTTTAATCATGAGTACTACTCGAAGTGGAGACTTGTCGTTCCTGAGATCTTAAAACGAACAACAGGTGATGTTGCTTGTTGCGTTAATAGTGCTGTCTGTGGCTCCAGGTTTAAGTTTTACTCCTATACCAAAAAAAACGCCAATTTAACACCTAGATAAGGAGATACCCAGTACTTACCAGGATGGGGCATTGTGATCGTTTCGTTGGCATTGCCGGAGCCCACGTTAAATATGACCACGGCAGACGCGTTTTGGTTTGCAGCGTGACGGATTTTTTCCTTGAAAGTGCAGTTACCTCTAGTTATTAGAGCTATCCAGGTGTTGGCGTTTGGGGGGACAGTGAATTTGGTGTTGGGGTCGCAAGCCTGCCTGTCGTGCAAAGACGAGGGCATCACCACCACCCCCTTGGCATCCTGTTTTAAAGAGTGCTCGCCGTAGCGACCGCACTCGGTTTTCTCCGTTTTGATCTCCGAAGTCGCGGGATCCAGGTAGGTGATGTTTACGAAAGCGGTGTACCATTCCTCCTTTTCCGCCACCGTAAAGTCCAGGCAAAGCAAATGCACAAAACAAAAGGAGAGCAGCCATGTTGAGAGAGCCAGACTGCGGCAGGCTTGGATGAGGGACATTGCCATATTAATTCGGAGGTCTCCAATGTTCCCCTCTGCCGAGCTCCTCTGCCTCCCGCCGCCACTCAGCCACGGATTTGTTTTTTGTTGTCGCTCTGTGATTTTTTCCCCGATAATTCCTGGCTAAAAGCTGCTTGCTTCTGCAGCGACGCCTCCCCGCAGAGTCTCTCGTACGCTTTTAGCGATCCCAAGTCTCCCCTACGAAGAAAATGTAAACCTACGCTGTTAAAGGAGATGTTGTTTCTGGGTTGGCGGGTGCAGGAGGCGCTTTTATGATGTCGTTGCTGCTGTCAATGTGCCTGGCCCGTTCTGCTCTGTGAATTGGAAAAGGCTATAGAAAGCGAGAAAGGCTAACAAAGGAGCGCCATCAAGTGGAGCGAAAGGAGGACCGTATCGAGTGGGGGGAGTCACCGTTGGGAGGAGGTTAAACTGATTGGCAGCCCCAGCGTGCAGCTGATAGATGAACTGTACGAGAATGAATGTTCACTGTGGTTTGAATTAAAGTTAGATGAAAACAAATTAAAAGACAATTTGTTGGCCATGCGTTACATTTTAATTTTATGAACTGTTCTCGTTAAGGACGACAGTCATACTTCAGGTCATGTAAGGGGTTCATTAAAAACGTATTTCTAAGGGAACAGTGCTAGGATAGGTACATCAAGTTATGTTTTGTGTTTACTGAAACGACATAAGCATCACCATGGAGAATTTACGCTACAGGCTACGTTACAGCCACGTACACAGGACCGTAACTGGCATTGGTTATGCACCGCGGGACAAGTTACTGTTAATTAATTTAGAGATTGTGTGAAACTGGCATTACTGATAAATTATTTATTACTTGCGTGGATGCTACTTCACAGTGTTATATGCTGTGCTTTATGTATTTTAAACGTTTGCCCCCACTCTTGAGATCATGGGTGTCAGTTGAAGAGGATACAGGCGCTAATGTACATGGCCATTGCACACGCTAGACTTATCAAATGAAGCGGCGTTTCCGTTCTGGCGCAAGACAATTTATTTAACTTTCTAGAAACAGTATACACAAATTGACTTTATTTTAGCTGCCATACGTCACCACAAGATGGCGTCTTTTGTCTTTTTTCAAACAATCTCACTCCAGTGAAAAGAGCCTTCTCTGGCGCCACCTGCATGCGCGTAACTAAAATAGTTGTAGTTTTGCTAAGAAAATGTTAAAAAGATTAATGAAAACTAAACATTATAACTTTTTTCAACTCTGTATTTTATGGAAGTATGTTCTTGACTAAGTATCTGCAGTGACTCATAAGCTAATGATTGCACTTGTGTCTTCAGATTGCGTTTATACTTATCTTTTATATAAACCAGAAACACTGCGAGGGAAATGTGAGAATACGTTTTAGTTTTTTGTAAAAAGGCTCACTCGGTGAAGTACAGTGAAGTAACCCTCTACAGCCCGGTCGAGATGTGATTGTGCTCGCCGCCGTAGGAACTAATGTTAAGCGTGTCGAGTTAGCAGATCGGACTGATCAGCCTCCTGGTCACGACGCAATTTCCTTTTAGTGCCACTTCCCCAAGAAGAGCAGAAGCTGTAAGAGCAGGTTTAAGGTATTTTTATATGTGCTTCATGTATGATGTGTTTTCTTTTACCCCTTTTATCTTTCATGTAGTAGTGCTCAATATAAAGGAATATGTATATAATCTATTTGGTTGAAAAGTATTTGGTGGGTCTACACCGAGCTCCACGCCCGAAATCCTATAATTCACTGGAGTTTAATTTAGGCGTTTTTTAAGATAATGGTGGTTAATGCAAAGAAAATGTAAGTACAATTAAAAGGGAAAATCATTAATCTGCTACCATTGTAATTATTCTCGCCAGTGTCGTTTGGGGCTGTTCTCCGGTGTAGAATACTTTCACCATTATTATTATTTAACCAAAAATGAACAATCGAATCAGTTTTGTTGGTATTTAGTTTGAAAATTTGCCAAGAAGAAGTACAGGGAGGATTACACTTCTGAGACAGTTAGTTTAGGTTTTCTAAACAAACGTACTGTAGAGGATTACAAAGAAAGTTTAGTCGTTTTAACAGTAATACCATAATATCACATACAGTTGGATCAGTTGTTTGGTATGAAATTAAATATTTTTCATGTTCACTCTAACAATGCCGCAGACGTTCTGCTTTATGTAGTAGCCGAGTGGCAACAGAGTCTTCTCGTAATAAAATTTAATTAAAAAAAATTAACATACCAATTCTGCCCATTTCTGGACTTTGTGTCGCTTACTCTGAGGTTGTTTAAATAGATGTGGTTGTTGTTTGTGGCAAATCGTTTTGCAAAACTTCTAGTGAACTGATCATTGTACACATTTCTGTAACTCCATAGATGGTAAATGTTTTTTGTGTGTTTAAACTAAGTTCTGCCCACTTATGGAATTGCATTTTTCAAAACAGGGATAATTGAACGGTTTTGTGTTCTGATCTGGGCTGGAAAATGCCGAAGAAGAAGACAGGGGCTCGTAAGAAGGCTGAAAACCGTAGGGAACGAGAAAAGCAGAGTCGCGCCAACAGGGAACATGTTGATGTGGCCAAACAGCCCTGCAACTCTTCTATGGTGTGTCTCACTTTCATGCTGTTCTATATATTAAAGTCTTATTAAAACATTTATTCTGAACTAAGAATCTGACCTATGTTGTTTTATAGGTAGTATTTTCATGACTGAAGTGTTTGTTACACATACATTTATTTTGTCACTGAATATTAACTGCTCCATATAAATGTTATTTAAAGGGAGAGTGACAATGTAGTATATAGGTTACTGTAATGGGATATCTAATTTTGTTAAAACATTTTTCTTAGTACTTCAATTTTATTTTGCAGGAATGTGACAAGTGTCAAAGGTAAGTAATGGTTTACATGTTTTAGTGCAGTCAATTCCACATAATATTAAAAATTAACCTTCCCTCACAGTAAAAACCATTATGACATTTTCGTTAAATCAATGGTTTATGAGATAATATATCATACTGTTATAACAGCAAAATAATTGCTGATCTCAGTCAGGCCTAAATTGTTTTCTATGCATTTTTATTTAGTATGTGCAATGGCCCATACAGACAGTATAAAGATGGTAATTAATCTAAAAAATGTGAGGACACTGGGGGTTTCCTTGTTTGATTATCATTATAATGTATTTTCAGAATTGGTTAATGTGAGCTTAAACTATTGGAGCAGGCTTACACCACAGTATTTTTTCTTAGTTCGTATCCTCAAGGCTTGGTATCTAGTAAAATTAATATATACAGGCCAATTGTATTGAAAGATTGAAATGATTTAAATCTCCTTTTCTTTTTCATTGATATGATCAGACGACAGAAAAACAGAGCCTTTTGCTACTTTTGTAGTTCGGTGCAGAAGTTGCCAATGTGTGCCCAGTGTGGTAAGTTCTTTTCACAAATAAAATGGTATTACATGTCGGAGAACTATAAGATTTAAAAGTCAATTTGAAAGACATTTACAGAAAGAAAAGAATAGACTTGGGTGACTATGTGCCATTTTTAAATCTCCTGACCTACTGTAGAAGCTTGATAAAGATTTATCCCCTTTAAATATTTACACTTGCTTTTTCTGATGGGGGGCATCAAATTTTAAATAACTGGTAGTGTGAGAGTCCATTGTAGTTTTAAATTTCTTTTTTGGTATAAAGATAAAAAATACTTATCTTAAGGTTGCAGGTGGTACGTTGTAATTTATATTCGGTGTCTCAAAACTCACTGAATGAAACAACACAAACTTTAGCAATGGTTTCAGATGCTTTTTCCTCAGTAATGCACATTTGTCTAATTCTTTGTGGTCACTTGATGTTTGTCTTTAATAGGAAAGACTAAATGTATGATGAAGTCATCCGACTGTGTGATTAAACATCCAGGGATACACAGCACTGGTCTGGCAATGGTGGTAAGATTCTAGACTTAATATGAATAAATTACCAAACTTCTGCATTTTGTAATGTGGTAGTGATGACGATTGGATGTTAATCAGATGGTAGTTATTTTTTATTCAGCAGCGTGTAAGTCAAATAATTGCTTTTTAAAATTGTTCAAAGAAACATTGATAAAGATATTAGGGAAATCAGTACAGGAAATGTGCCACTCACTATACGATGAACACAGCATTGACCTCTGGCCCTGGTTCTTCTAGGATTATGTTCTTACAAAAGTTATTGTGGTTGAGAGGGAGTAAAGCAGTGTCTAGTTATAAGTCATATTTTCTTCCCTGTGTATGCTGTAGCTTTTATTGTTAATGTTAATGTTTAATCTGGCTAATTCCTATGAACGAAAGGGATAATTGTCTTGTGGGACCCACTCACTGAGATAAGAGGTCTGTGAACAACTCTAGTGAAATTGAAATTACTGGATATAGGGGCAGTAAAAGTGCCCTTGAAAGTTCATGATCTTTCCATTGCCAATGGATGTATTTTCTTACGTTGTGCCAGGTCAGTATGCATTTGGGTAGTCTTGGGTAATCAGGAATAATCACAGTATTTTAAGACGAGACGATCTCGTACAATAGAAAGTGGTAAAAAGGTTTTAGGGTGATCTGTTACAGTATGCATTTACATATACCTTCATTATATTATCGCTATATGATCTTAGTGCTTCAGCCAAGTAATCATTTGTGATGACTTAAATGAAAAAACAGTTGTAACTAGTATCCATTTAAAAAAACTGCTTTTGTTTTTTGTGTTGTGCATACTGTTTTAAGTATGATTTGGATTGTAGGTAAAAGGTTAATATATATACTTATCACCACTAGGGGGCAATCTGTGACTTCTGTGAGGCGTGGGTTTGCCATGGGAAGAAGTGTCTGAGCACACACGCCTGCATCTGCCCGCTTTCTGATGCAGACTGCATTGAATGTGAAAGAGGAGTTTGGGAGCATGGTAATTGACAACATCCATTCATTTTTTAGACCGAATAAATCAAGCTACAGTTTCCTTCGCCAACTGTGGAATTTGCTCATTTATGGATTGAGTACCTGTCCCTCCCAACTGCAGGAATCTCTTGCTCCCACTCTAATCCGCCTCCGGAAGCTTTTGAAAATTCACTATGTGTTGTTGTGAATTTCCTCTCTCCCTTGTTCAGCAGCACCTTTCCACCCAGCTGCAGTAGGCCTTCACTGCAGCTGGGTGCATCATGTGCATCAATGCATCATTTCAGTGCTCTCTTCTGTTAATTTTTTTGCTATTTCTGGAAAAAAATGGATTCAAGGTAAAATGTTTTTTAACATATTAATATTACATTCAGAATATTAATTCATAACAAATATGAATTTGTAGTTCACGTTATTGCATTTGTAAATTTACAAAGAAAACTATGAGTTATATTAGCTGTGGATGAGATTAACATGGGAACTTAACCCCCGATTTCTCTTGTACTCCAGCATTTATCAAGTGCAAGCATTTCCAGGAGCACAGTTCCCACGTTCAGTGAGGGAAACCTGTGTTACTGGTGTGCGTATATATTTAAACACCAAAATGTTTTAATTCCACCTCAAAAGGAATGTGTGCCGTTACAAATATATAACTGAGAATCAAAAGGTATTCGTTTGTCGCTTTTCTTTAGACAAGTATTTGTTTCCTTTGTCTGTATTTGATGGTAACATACATTCTTAAACTCTTAGCCTTGCCAAATGAGGGACATGACTAAAATCTTTTTATTGCTTTTGGGTATCTTATTGTTTTGCCTATAAAAGTTAATTATCTATCCAAAGTAAGAATATTGCTTTAATTGGTGATGTTTAATAGTGTCATGAAAAACTGTTTAGCTAACATTGTGCAGAACAAATATTTACATAGCAAGAATCTCATTTTAAAAGTAATAAGTGACAACCGTATACATATATACAAATTGTAACAGTAGTAATACACAGCATACAGTATGGTACAGAAAGGAGCACGTGATCTGATTTGTGTAGTACAAACAGATGAGGTTTGGTATAAGGAAGCAGTGGGACAGTGCACTTCTGCCAGTGGAGTTTATGTCAATGAGTTTGTCTCTGACTGGAAGGGAGACAAAGGAAAGCACAACTGGAGTTGATGCAGAATGGTGAAAAGGATCAGAGGGTATATAGGAAGAGAGAAGAAAGTATACAGGCTGGTGAAAATCAAGACCTAGAATTATTGGTGGGCCAGCTAAAGAACTGGCTTCCCAGGGAAAAGAAAGGTGAATTTCAAGAGCAAATTCCAAGATTCCAAAAGAGGATAGATGACAGAAGCAGAGATACAAGTGAGTGTCTTGATAGATCTGAAGCAGAAAGACAGCACAATGAGGAAAGAATGGGCTTTTTAAACAGTTGTTTGGAAGGAAATGGAGCATTACCAGGAAGATGTGTTGGGAGCAGGAAAAAAGGGAATCAGATTAAAAAGATTTGTGATGAAGGAGGATAGAAGGCATGTGGAAAGGTCGTATAGTAGGAGGAGGATAAAGATGAAGAGAACAAAGCAAAGGCGAGTCTGGGGTGTTGTCAGTACAGCCAGGTGAAGCTGCCCGAGAGCCAGTTCGAGATTCAGGAAGTACTGGCACACGAGCAAAAGGAGAGGAATCCAGTCATGCGCAGGAATACAAAAGCACCAGAGGAGATTGGAGAGCCATTGGACCAATTGTAGAGTAAAGAAGGGGTCTTGACACTTTCTGGTGGAAACTCATGGATAGAAATGAAAGAGAGTGGTAGACTAGATTTTCCATCCTGATAGAGAAGAGAGAAGAACAGCATATCACCGCTGTCTTTAAAATTGATACTGTAGGATTCAGAGTGAAATTGATCTTAATGCGCATATTGTGTACACTTACTATATTGAATTGCATGAAATGTATAAATATGTAGTACGACTTTGAAAGCCCTTGTTGCTTATTTTCCTGTGTAAGAGTGCCATTATTATTCACCATTTCTATTCCCCACAGGAGGAAGGATATTCCGATGCTCCTTCTGTCAGAATTTCCTGTGCGAAGACGATCAGTTTGAACACCAGGCCAGCTGTCAAGTGCTGGAGGCAGAAACATTTAAGTGTGGGTGATTTAATTTAATGTTTAATATTCAGATTAACCTTAGGAATCTCCTATTGGCACCATTAGTTAGGCTGCAGTTTAATTGGCAGGGCATAAAATCTTTAATAGGTAATGTATAACTAACTTTCTTTCTCTTGGAAAGGAAAGCCTTCATTCTCATGCCAAAATGTGGGTGTAGCAACCGCAGTGATTTGCATTCCTTACAGGTCCTACATTAAATGTGATGAAAGATTAAGCGGTGTTATCCGGAGGAGTTGTACTGTGTTCCTTAGCCGCAAACATAAATGTTTGTGACAGTCTGGGCACATTAAACTGCACAGTAGGTGTGCCAGACTCTTGGGACACTAATTACTAGTTATAGTCTCTGGTTAAATCAAGTACACAGTTTAATGAAGAAACCAAGGATGAGCAGGTGACTTCAAGACATAAGGAGGAAAAACCAACCACTTGATTCATATACAAAAGCAACTGTTCCTGTATTCCTGGAACATTGCAGTTCTACAATTATGTGTATTTCAGTGGAAAGTTGTGACAGGCAGTGTCTGGCAGAATTCTTTATACCCCTGCTGAAGTAGGAGCACAAATGTCTTGGAGTGAGTCTTTCTTTAAATCTTAATGTTATATCCTACTCATCATAACATTGCAAAGTGCAAAGTCCTATTTGGCATAAACAAAATGTCATAAAAAACAAGTGTTTCATTTTTTCTCACCACTGTACCAGGAATGTTTGGCTAGGGCTCAGTATATTAATCTTGCATTTGCTTCTGTTCCAGGCATTTCCTGCAATCGTTTAGGGCAACACTCTTGCCTTCGTTGCAAGGTATGAATAATACATTTCTTTTGACAAATGTATTTTCTGCCAAAACACTTTTTAACATGGTGTACTGTATTACAGCTCTCTTGGCCTTGCACATGCTTTTCAGACCTTGCAATATTTTCCTCTACAGGCTTGCTACTGTGATGATCATGCTCGCAGTAAAGTTTTTAAGCAAGAGAAAGGCAAAGCTCCACCCTGCCCAAAGTGTGGCCATGAAACACAGGAAACCAAAGATCTCAGCATGTCCAGTAAGTGTACTTTCATCTGCTTCCTTGTGAAGCATGTTTATTTTTCTTACAAAAGAAAGAAGGCGCTACTTATGTGATCTAAAATGGGAATTAAAAGTCACATGCGTAACTGTCCAGTATAGTGATTGTCCTCTGTGATATTTGTAAAAAATTATTTAAAAATGTTTTTATGTTTGGGGGAAAAAAAGGTTTTAGGGTGATCTGTTACAGTATGCGTTTTCAGATACCTTCGTTATATTATCGCTATATGATCTTAGTGCTTCAGCCAAGTAATCATTTGTGACTACGTAAATGAAAAAACAATGTTATAATTAGTACCCATTTTTAAAAAGTGGATTTTGCTTCTGGAACACATAAAGCTTTTAGGTTGGTAACACTGTTTAGGTATCCATTAATAACTAATAACAATTAACATGCTGCTAAGGATGATGCCTTTAACCCTAGGGTTATAGACAGGGGTATGGTTCAGGACTAGAGTTCTGCTCCTACCATACGTTTAATGTACAGAAGAGATTATCACATTTTGAGGATTTAGGGGCAGTGACAGAGTAGTGATTAAGGGCTAAGTCAGTGTCCTGACTGGGGACTCAGGCATTTTGGGGGAGATACTGACCTGTAGTCACTCAGTAGCAGCCCTACTACATTTTTTAGCATTACCAATTCAGAAAATGTACCCTGGTTTGGTTATATAAATTTAATAAATTGTTCTTTTTTATTAACGGATACCAGAAAACTACAATATTAGGTATTTTTGTTGTGTTGTGGTTGCATTATTGTGTACCCATTCATTAAGACCTTCCGCAAACCTTTTTTTATGCTGCTATAGATTAGGTTCTTCTTAACGTGGTATGCTCTTGATTTGGAATGGTACCTATGGCAGGAAATGTGACAGACAGCATGTTATTAATAAATTAATTATGAATTTGGTCTTATACAAACGGCAGTGTCTCTTCCTGTGCTTAATCTTGATTAAACATAGTACTGCATAGATCAGAGTGAAAAGAATAGCTGCAATTTGCTACCATAATGTGTTAGTTTTGCACAGGATGTGCGAGAGAATCAAATTCTAATAGTTAAGGGGCTGACTGACTCAGACAAAACAAATATTGCATTGTAACAAAGTAATTCTTGTTTCAACAAGAAATAAAGATCTTGGTGTGTTTCACAAAACAATATTGTTTTGACTTTTAACACGGGAAAATATCATGCAAAACATGTCACTTTGTAATGATCAACCTGTTTGCTGTAATTGGCATAATCCCAGTTTGGTTCTCACAATATTGCTGAAGTGAGCCCTACCACAAATAACAAACTGCTCATAGAAAGCACCGCCACCTTGCTTTTCCTGTTTTACCAGATTTTTAGTAATTTGGTGTGAGCAAAAAAAGTTCTTTTGTTCCTGTTGAGGGTATGGATGACAATTCCTGCATTATGTGGAAGAGCATCAGGTGGCTCTTGCTCTATAAAGAGTGCTTGTTAAAACACAGTATTTTATATATGGAATTAACATTAGAACCTGTCAGCAGAAACTATCACATCATTCCAGTTGCATCTGGCAACTGCAAGCTGCCTGTCCTTGGTAAGGGTTGTGGCAGCCCGGAGCCTGTTCCTGAAGTACAGGGCACAAGGCAAGATTAAATCTTTGATGGGATCTGTTGCGGACAGATTAGAGAAGCTAAAAAAACTAAGATGGCATGTCATTAGAATGTGGGAGGGAAACGGAGCACCTGGAGAAAACATACTCAAACATGGGGAAAAACAAACTCCCCAAACTCCAGGAATGTTTTGAAATCGGGACCCAAGAAATGTGAGGCGTCATCTCTTATCCATCATCCCACCAGATTATATTGGCTTCATCTTTAAACATTGTACCCTGTAACCAGAGTGAAACAATAGAAGCAGAGTTAGGACCAGAGGACACATGGACACTCCTTTTGCGAAAGGCTCCATCAGTCAGAGAGTTGAGTGTAATTGACTGCCAAGCCTTCATGCGTGTCCTGTATGAAAAGGAATGGCAAACAAATGAGGCAGGTGTTGTGTGCAGCTCGTGATCCAGTATCCCATGGCTATGCCCCTGTTCCTCACAGCACGTATGTCATTTTGCTTGTGGCAGTGAAAAATGTAATTTTATTCAGCCTCTTTTTTTCTGGCAGCCTTCTGGCCATTAGTGCCTCGCCGGGGTCTCTCTAAACTGCACCTCTGCCTCTTTCTTTCCAATCCAGCACGCTCTTTGAAGTTCGGCCGTCAGAGTGGAGCGGAAGACGGAGCCTCCGGGTATGACGCCTACTGGAAAAACCTGGCCTCCGGAGGAGGGGGCCTTGGAGGAGACAACGATTATGAAGAGGAGGATGGAGATGACTACGATGATGATGAGGAGGACGAAGAGGAGGATGAGGAGGACAAGGAGTCTGATACTGAGGTATCTGAACCCTTCTCTGACCTCAACCTTGGAAGGACCTATGCCAGTGGGTATGCCCACTATGAGGAATCCCAGGACTGAAGAAAAAAGTAGTTTTCATTGAGTGCTTTGATGAGTACCATGTTAAATTTGTTTGAGTAGTAGTGTGCAGTCTTTGGATTATGCAGTACGTTTTTCCACAAAATCTTTACATCTTTGCTAAAAAACTGTGCAAATAGTACTGTTGTTTCTTTTAAAAACTTAATAAACTATAAGTTGTAGTAATTATTTTATTTTTTGTTGTTGTTTCCGTACAGGTAAATTACATAAAGTAATATAAAATGTTAACAGCCTGAGTATGGTTAGCGTAATCCTAGATGTTCCCTAGTATGGTGACTGGGACATTGTTGATACGAGATGTCCTGTTTCTAATGAGACATTGAACCAAGGCCTTGACTTAATGGTTTATTAAAACGATCCCATTGGGAGGGGTTCTCCACTCAATTTGCTTTTTAATGGGTTCGTTGGCATATAGCGGTGGCTGTGCGTCACCCAGGTGGTTTCTGTGCTGTAGTTTTTTTAAGGGGACTGCTCATGAAACCACACAGTGGGGAAAGCTTTTACTGAACATACCAGCATAAGCAAAATAAGGTCGGTAAGAGATTCTTAACGTTGATATCGATGAATTTTCGATGTATCGCCCAGCCCTATCTCAGAGTGTTCACCACAAGATGCAAACCACTGGTAAGAAAGGCCAGGTTACAGTTTGCTAAAAAGTACATTAAAAAGCCTCTAGAGTTCTGGAACAAAGGCTTATGGACAGATAAGACAAAGGCTCTGTACCAGAGTGATGGAAAGAGAAAAGTATAATGAAAAAATTGAACTGCTCATGATCCAAAACATACCACCTCACCTGTGAAACATGGTGAAGGTAGTGTCGTGGCTTGGGCATGTATGTCTGCCAGTGGAACTGGCTCACTTGTCTTTACTGATGATGTGACTGCAGACACCAGCGGCAGGATGAATTCTGAAGTGTACAGAAGTATCTTATCTGCTCAGATCTAACCAGATGCCGTCCAATTCATTGGATGGCACTTCACCTTGCAGAAGGAGAATGACCCCAAACATACTGCTAAAGCAACTATGGAGTTTTTCAGGGCCAAAAAGTGGAATGTTTTTGACTGGCCAAGTCAATCACCCGACCCGAATCCCATTGAGCATGCATTTCACTTACTGAAGACTGAAAGCAAAAAGCCCCTGAAACGAGCAGGAACTGAAGATGGCTGAATTACAGGCCTGGCAGAGCATCACCAGGAAAGGTACTTGGTGATGTCTATGGGTCACAGACTTCAGGCAGTCATGAATTGCAAAGGATTTACAAACATGCCAAATTTTATTTAAGATTATGTTAATGTATCCAATTACTTTTTGTCCCATGAAATGGGGGGACTATGTATAAAAAGGGCTGTGATTCCTATATGGTTCACCCAATATCGTCGTAAATACCCTCGAATTAAAGCTGACATTCTGCACTTTAACCTTATAGGCATTGTTTTATTTCAAATCCAATGTGCTTCAGTACATTGTGTCACTGTCCAAATACATATGGACTGCACTTCCAGAACATCTTCATGTGTTTGTGAAAGTCTGATGAGGTTTTGAACAGGTCCTTCTGAATTTTCCTGAGTCTTAATAGTTCACTTAAAAACATTGGCTGTAATTATTTAAGACATGGTAAGATCTAATCCTTACAACATTGCAATGGTATACTGAGTGGCCACTTTATTAGATACACCTTCCCTTGTAATTGACTGCTCAATCAGAAGGCACTGCTCCATATTCTGCGGTTTAGAATGCTGAAAAACTTTCGGTGATGTGAAGCCGCCTTATTACATTTTAAACAAGCAGGTTTGTGAATACATCTCTTTTAATCCAATAGAAATATCGCTCTTAACTTTGAGACGATCTTGCTGACAAATACTACTTGCTTGTTAACTGCATGCAGATCACATTGGAACACTTCTGCGGTACAATGTCTGCTGCACAGCCTGTATTTATTAGATCGTACATTACATTATATTAGACTTTACAGTGACCAGTGAACAGAAGGGCCCATTTCACATTGCAATTTGCGCGAACTCTCACTCTCGCCTGTGGTGAGACCGGTCGTTTGCGACAAAATGGAGATCACACAGTCCATGTTTTTTTGCTTAAATCTAAATTTGTACAATTTTCCCATACCATTCATTTATTTTGTTACCGAGATTTAATAACCTGCCTGAGAAATTGGGACTTCAGTTCCCATTTAATTGGTTCCAGAGGTCAGAACAAAAAAGTAAACCTATGAGCATCCCATTAACATAACACTATAACATGGCACATTCCAACAACCTAATACTAGATTACCTATAACCAATTTGATTTTGGTATTCAGAATGATTCAATGAGTAGTCACACCATACCTAAATAAATGTGAAGTCAAGGTGAGTCTCTTCCCACTCTTGGTTAAGTCAGTTGCCTTTGAGAATTGAGACAGATCACCACACTCAAGAAGTAGCTACATGCCTGAAGCCCTGTACAACAGTTAAACATCGGTAATTTGGACTTACATTGGTTATCAGTTGCTATACTGAATTAGAACAAGTGACACGTGAAGTTGGAATTGACTGATATAGTCAAATTTTTGTTCCAGTAGAGTACAGGTTTATTGTCAGTTTTAATGCCTTTGAATAGGCAGAAGGAGCACACTTTGTAGGTTTCATCACATCCACGATGACAGGATGGAAGGTATATTTAAAGCATGATAGCCTTTTTCATTATGTACAGTATTGTTCGTGGGCAGATCTGTAGGTCTTGCAAATTGTTTTCATCAGGGTTGTCCCATGGAGCTTAATTATCCAATGTGTTAATTTGCACACTGTAATCCTCTTTCTCAGGCAGCATGGTGGCACAGTGGTTACATTCTTGGCTTGCAGCACTGGGGCCCTGGGTTTAATTCCTGGGGTGTTATCTGCATGGAGTTTGTATGGTCTGTGTGTGTTCATATGTGGCTTCCTCCCAGGTGCCCTGGGCTCCTACTGGTAGGTTAATTAGTTTCTGGGAACATTGGCCCTGGTATGATTGTGTGTGTGTTTGTTTTTGTGTCTGTGTGTGCAGTGCAATTAGTTACCGACGACCACCCGCAGTACTTGTGTCCTGTGCCATCCTGAGAAAACGCCTAGAACAACCTTCTATGG